GAACTTCTGTCCAACATACCGAACCGAAATCATCGAATATGACGATAACTTATTCATATGACGATTTAGATTTGGAATATGGGGGAAATGAAACCGATTATCTTTTACCAAAACCGGAGATATATGTTTGCGAAGTAAAGCCTGACTCAGACCATTTAAAGGCTCCCGATATTTCGCCTAAAGTGAAAAGGAGCGATTCTGATCAATTTTCATCTAAAATTCACAAAATCTGCAATCTCCACATTGTTCTGGACCCCACATTCGTTATTGAATTTGTGGGAAAAGATATTGATCAAGCTATGAAGGATATTATTCTGTTGGTCGCCGGTATGAACCACTTATACAGTTCTACCGATTTTGATAATGACGGACAGCCGGACAATATAGGTTTCAGAAAAAAGATTATTTTTCATAATTTCTTTAAAAAAAGTATAAATTATTATAATATAGTAAAATATGAATTATATAGGGTTCACCATCGATTCCGTTACGATAATTTCTTTAAAAAAAGTATAAATTATTATAATATAGTAAAATATGAATTATATAGGGTTCACCATCGATTCCGTTACGGTCTATACTTCCTCTAATAATCCTACTTTTAAAGATGTTTCAAACTTCAAACTTAAGTACCCTAATAAATCGTTAGACAATGCTTACCTCACAACATTTTCGGAAGGCTCTTTCGGATACAAACATTGCCTATCTTTGAGTTTTACCTTCAGAGACTTTTCGGGGATCAACGGGCTAGCCTATATCGGGGACAACGCCGCCCTTTCCGGCATATTTATGTGGTATAACCAAACAGTATCCCCTGCCGTTATGGAGAGTTATTTTAAAAAACTGGGCAAGCCAGTGCCCATTTTTCATCATTACAACACGGGACTAGTCAATTTTAAACGGACCTTTAAAAACAAGAGGCAACTCAGGGGCCTGTTACTTAACACCCTTGCCCATGAAGTTGGTCATACTTTTGGAGCAATACACGACGATGATACAAAATGCTCAGGAACTGGTCAGCTTATGGAAATGTTCGCGCCACCTTTCGTATCCCACCGGCTTCTGACATTTTCGAATTGCAGTAAGGAAAAAATTTTACCTATTTTAAAAGCCCGTATCGGCAGATTTCAAGAAACTAACAATCCTTATTTCAATGTTATTGCTTAAAAACTTTATTTACTTTATTGTGAAATCTTTAATAGAAAAAAAAGGAAAATTACTTGTTTCAAATTGTAATATAATATCCGTTTCTCTAATATAGAAAAAGCGTTGTCATAATAAAACATATTTATGAATAATTATTTTATGATTTATTATTATAAATTATATGGTTTGGTATATTAGGACTATAAATAACAGAAAACACATTAGGTAAAAAATTAAAAAAGGTTTAAGAATTATGAGTAATATCTAAAAATTTAAAAACATTCCTTTGCTTTCAATATTTATTAGTTTGTTGATGACTATCATTTACAATATATTTTTTTAAGATGGAGTGATATAGATTTGAATTGCCATTTTTTGAAGATTTAGATTTTGATAAAGGAACCGCCTGATCTAATACTTTGAAATTTCCATTATTTATTTTAGTACCTATGTTCTTTGTTTCATTTATAAATGCGTTAGCTCCTGATTCAATTTCATTGTAACTTTTATAATTTACCGTGTAAACAGATGCATTTGAGTGTCCATTAATAGGAGCACACCTTAAATTATTATATCTAATAGGGGTCTTGTAAAGTTTAATCTTTTCATTGGACGACCTCGTTGGCATTCTTTTACAATACGAAGGCGTGTAAAATCCCCTGTTACATGAATTCTTTAACCATTGGTGGTTTAAAATATCAATTATAGAGGAACGTTCGCATTGATCGAATGTTAAGAGTTTTGATATCAAATCTTCGCAATCCGATGAAATGTTAGAAAAGTTTTTGAGATTTTCTACTTTCCATCGCTTTTGACTCTCAACTAACCTTTCCGTGTTCCGTATTTTCTCGTCAAAGGGCATGTGTGAACTAACCCACACGCATAATATAACTCCTAAGGACCATATATCAGCCTTTTTGGGATCGTATGGAATCGATTTTAATATTTCGGGACTGGCATAGGATTTTGAACCACAAAATGTTTGACTTAGATACTTATAATTGTCGTTCGCATTATAATTTCCTTCAATTCTCGATAAATCACTATAATTACTCTTGTAGGTGACCTCTCTACAAAATCCAAAATCAGCCAATTTTATGTTATGGGAACAATCAAGTAATAAATTTTCTAGTTTCAAATCTCTATGAGCTAGTCCTCTCGTTTCATGCAAATATTCTATAGCACTGGCAGTTTGTTTAAACCATTTTTTTGATTGCTGTTCGCTGAGTTTGCCAAATTTTTGTACATATTCCAAAACATCACCATGACAAGCGAATTCCAACATAACATAAATTTTATCGTATCTTTTAAAATATGAATACATTTTAATTATATTAGGATGTGATAACGTAGGCCAAAATTTTAACTCCCTGGGCAAAAATTTGCTTCTAAAGTCCATTGGTGCCGTCATCAAGTCGATAATTTTTACGGCTAACAATTGTGTTCCAGAAGGATTCGACACTACTACTACCTTGGAGAAATTTCCTTTACCTATAGATCTATATAGATAAAATTCTTTCTCGGCCAATATAGCTTTATCTGTAGATCTCCTGATCAAAGGGTATGCGTTATCCCATGAACAAGGACTTATATTACCTCTAAAATTATTCGTATTACCAATAGACGTAGCTAACGCTCCCGAATAATGTTTTTGACTCATAGACGAGTCGGCATCATTAGATGCCTCAATATATCTGTCGGACGAATGCAACGAAGAAATTCGGTTATAATCGCCGTTTTCTGTATTATCCAAAACAGGATAGTTCTCGTTAGATGGAAAAGATAATTTCCCATTCGAACGATTATTGTGGATTAAACTATTCATAATATTATTTATGTTGAACTTCGAATTCCACCCAAATTTCGCAGCATTTCTTTTAACGTTATAGATTCCTTCTCCTCCATCGTTAGCAATTTTAGGTTCCTTATGAATGTTTTTGTATTCTGTGTCTCTTATAGGAATTAACTCATAATCCCTGATATTGGACTTGAGTAATTTATATGGAAATGGATGAGAATATGTACGACATTTATAACATTTATTAAGAGTTAGTGGTTTGATTGATTCCATATTTAGCATGTGTAGAATTTGCCAATAATAAAAAAATAATAGATGAACGGAGGGTTAAAAAATCATTTGTGCTATATACTCTCCAAAAAACAATATTTATTATTCTAATCATATATTATATTTACCAAAAAGATGTAATCGTGCGTCTTAATTGCTGTTTTTTTTACAAAACATTAGATTTATGATATATATACATACATCATATATTGAGATTTTTTTAATTTAAAATTTTAATGACAAGTTTTTATTTAGTATAAAAAATAATTAAATATTTGGTGAATAAAATTCTTTTTAGCCTGAAAAAGGTTTTCAATGACTACATTGCATTTGTTTAAGAAATCATTATTTTATTTAAGTCATAATAAGGTATATATTAGAGGTGAGCGCGGACTAATTATTTATTCACGGCCCACTCGCTCACGGTAGCAATAAAAAAAATTCACGCCCGTTCACGTTTACCACTAAAAAAATTCGACCCGACCCGCCTGCTCATGAAAGGCAATATTTTGATTCAATCCCGAAAATTCACGGTGTTTTTGAATTTTTCAAAACTATTGCTAATATTTTACACTGTTTTGGATTTTTTCTATTTATTTTTCTAATTTCAAATCCATATTAGTAACAAAATAAATACAATCTATAAATCGAAATTTTTATTTAGAAAAGAAAAATGTCCATCTCTTTTTATTTCTACTGTATATTGTTATTTGTCATATGAGCGATGAATTTTTTAAGTTCATCCTCACAGCTTTTATCGGTAGATGATGTTACTTCATCAGATTTAGAAATTCTCTAAATTTTTTATTTAGAATACACTGTCTTTTATGAGTGTAGGATGTATTAGGAAAGTTATATGATAGTTGGCATTGACCATAGAATATACGGTTTTTTATAAATTTAGGATAAATTAGGAAAGTTATAGACGATAGTTGGCATTGACTTATGCATATCATCTAGTTTTATATAATTTAACATTTTTAAGGTTGTTTTATATATATCTTCCTTCTCTTCTTTTAAATTCGGATTTAGAATTAAGCCTACTTTGTAATGGCTGCATAATAAATCTTTCTTTTAAAAGAAATCTTGTTCTGTTTTTTAAGGTTTAGATTATTATTGTATCATATTCAGAAGGTTATGGATAAACTTCATTTATATGGGACGAGAATCTGCACTCAGATTATCCGAGCATTCTTTAAATATTGGTAAAAATTTATCTAACTCGCATATGATGTTGATATCAATTGTGGCTAATCTAAATTCTTGCTTACTAAACAAGCCCATATGTATTTCAGAATATGATTTTAAGAAACTCTGTATAATGATGTATACAGAGTTCCATCTCGTTATTACATCTTGTTTAAGAGCGTGGATTAGCTTGTTATTGGCTATAGATTGTTTAAATTACACCATTCATATCTAAATTATATCAGTTAAACAATTGTCAAAAATATAATGCATAATATTATTTAGTATGACAGCGTTTATTCATCTTTGAATGTACTTCTTATAAAATTTGCTCCGTTATCAGTCACACAACAAACATTTATTTAAAAAATTTTCCTTCTAAAATTGAATTGACTATACTTTTAATATTAAAGCCAGTTTCATTTCCTTTGTGGCCAAAACAATGTTTTTAATTCAAGATCCTTAATGATAATATGTCCTGAACTTCGATTTTTATAGTTATCCGTCAAAATATTAGTGGTTATGGACAAGTAATTATTTGATCATGCTTTTAATCTTAATTTTAATTTCATCGTATATTTTTGGAGCTATAGTATTCATGAGAGTTTTCCGGCTCACAAGTATATCTTTCATATTTTGTTGTCCATATGTAACACCAACATTTAAACTCTTGGCCTAGCTTGTAAAATCCTTCACTTTCTGTTGCATTTAAAGATCGAAGATCTTTACAAATAAAATATAACTCACTTTTCTGTAAAAGGTTTAAGCAAAATAAGTCTCGCGATAAAACACCTAAACATAAAAAGAAAATAGAACTAACAGCATGATACCGGATGTTGTTTATAAAATGCGGAAGATTTTTTGTTTCAAAAAAGGAAAATTAAATTAGAAAATTTATATTATAATTATAAAATTGCAAATTTATATTTATAAAAAAACAAATTTAAAAATTAAAATATCCGATATTCACGAGAAATTTATGTTCACGCCAGATCACGACCGGAAAAATTTTTGGGAAGGCCGGTCACGTCTAATAATTTAAAATTTATTCACACTCACGCCTTGCCGTGGCCCATCGTGCGCCCACCTCTACTATATATTACTAGATAACCCCCCCCCCCCTCTCAATTAAAAATATAATAGGGTAAATTATCTGTCTCTTACCTAATTTTCTTCTATTTAGATAAAATATTCTTAGAAATTTCTTATTACATTTAAAATGTGCGAAACATTTAATTTTGACAAAATTTCACATTTTAAAAATTAAATTATAAAAAAATATGAAAAGGGGCACACTACCCAAAGTTGTTATAACTTTGGCGGGGCATTCCCAAGCACCTGTATCCGAGAAGTGCCCCTTCTAGTATGGGATCGATGTTTGGTCTTTTTTACTTCCAGTGCACTTATAGTCTTACCTTACTAATAGGGACTCTATTATGTTTATCATAACTGTGCACCCCTCCCCCTTTTAAATTAAATAGTATATATTTGCAGTTTTAATTGTTAAAATGAAAAAAACAATGGCTCAACTAGCACTTGGGTAAAAAAATCACATTTTCCAAAGAGGCCACAAGTTTATTTTACTAGTTTATTCTATAGCTCAAGTCTCATAATTTAAAATAAGAAAAAATTTTTTTTTATAAAGATGATAATAATTTATATTATAGAATTAAATTTAATGTTTTATAGAATGCAATTACTAAGTATTTTTTTTTATTATCATTGCTATTTGTGCTTCTATATTATTTGTTTATCTTGAATCTTGATGTTAATTTTGAAAATTTCTTATTTTGCTCATAAGTTTTTATTTATAGTGTCTATCAAGCGAGTTGAAATACTAAAGTAAAATATATAGATTAAGCATTATGGCCGTGTTCTGATAATTTTAATATTTATTGGCTTTTAGTCTAGGATATAAATCTTTTGCACTAGGAACCCTACTTTGGTTGGTTTTAAGTATTTGTTAGCATTGTTTTCTTATTTTAGTCTCGTTTTTTTTTATTTTCTGTCGTTTTTTTGTTTTTCTTGCTTGTTTCTTTGATTTAAAATAAAAAAATTTTTTTGGGGTTTAGTCGATATTAAATAGCCAGCTATTTAGTAATAAGCGACCCAGGACATGGCCTACATATTGATTTTAGCTTTGGAATTAATACCTTCAGAGGATTCAAAATATTATATAAACTATTCTACTTCTTTAGCTATTAAACAAACTTAAAAATTTACAGTGTAATAAATATATTCATAACTTAATATTCACAGGTTAATAATCATATTCACAGTTAAATTATTCTATTTAAAGTTTAATAATTATATTCAGAGTTTTGAATTTATTTTCACGGATTTTTAAATAAATGCTCAGTTTTAAAATTATTTTCACAGTTTTTTAGTTAAATTCTCAGTTTTCCTCATTATTTTAGGTACCATATTGGGCAAAATCTAAATACTTAGGACTATGAGCAGCCAATAAGTTTCTGTACCGAACTATATACCATGGGGCCCGCTTTAGCCTTTAGCTAAGGGTATGCAATAAAGATAAGGATTAGTGTCTATATTAGATAATAAGAAATACTAATTTTATTAGAAGCCAACCCACTAGACTTAGGCTGCTGAACAGCGTAAAAAAGCGCGAAGCAGCCAATAAGTTTTTATTAATTTTTACCGAATTACGCGGTTCAGACTAAGGCCTGATACAAAACTCGTGTAACACGTTAGCGGTTAGCGCCAGGGGCGGACTGGCCATAAGATCCAGTGGGCATTTTGCCCACGAGGCTGCGAGAAAATGTCGATTTTGAGGCCGATGAGAGGAAAATATCAAAAAAGAGGCCGGTAGGAAAAAAAACATTATTTTGTTCACATTATTTTCTCTTATCATTTATTTATTTTTAATGATATCTATTATTTGAATATAACATTCCCTGAGAAGAATTATCATGTCGTTTACTATATTTGAATGCATAAAATATCAATTACGTCGCTTGACGCTATATATCATTTACCACGTGCTTTTCGTTTTTTTTTTCAAAGGAAGTGAAAACGCTTATGTTTGAGTCTGAGTAGAGTGAAAGCTAAGTTTTGATTAATTTATTATATTAATTTTTATACATTAATTTATTGTATATAGGAAACTATAGTGATTGATTGTATTTCTTCTACTTAATTCATTGATCCTTTTGAGCTTGGGCTTGAGTAGAGTGAAAGCTAAGTTTTCATTTATTTATTTAATTTTTATACATTAATTTATTGTATATAGGAAACTATTGTGATTGATTGTATTTCATTGATCCTTTTATGCTTGGGCTTAAGTAGAGTTAAAGCTAAGTTTTCATTAATTTATATAATATTTTTATACATTAATTTATTGTATATAGGAAACTATCTTGTTCTTAATTCATTGATCCTTTTGAGCTTGGGCTTGAGTAGAGTGAAAGCTAAGTTTTCATTAATTTATTATATTAATTTTTATACATTAATTTATTGTATATAGGAAACTATTGTGATTGATTATATTTCTTGTTCTTAATTCATTGATCCTTTTGAGCTTGGGCTTGAGTAGAGTGAAAGCTAAGTTTTCATTAATTTATTATATTATATTTTTATACATTAATTTATTGTATATAGGAAACTATTGTGATTGATTATATTTCTTGTTCTTAATTCATTGATCCTTTTGAGCTTGGGCTTGAGTAGAGTGAAAGCTAAGTTTTCATTAATTTATTATATTAATTTTTATACATTAATTTATTGTATGTAGGAAACTATTGTGATTGATTGTATTTCTTGTTCTTAATTCATTGATCCATTTGAGTTTGGGCTTGAGTAGAGTGAAAGCTAAGTTTTCATTAATTTATATTATATTTTTATACATTAATTTATTGTAATATAGGAAACTATCTTGTTCTTAATTCATTGATCCTTTTGAGCTTGGGCTTGAGTAGAGTGAAAGCTAAGTTTTCATTAATTTATTATATTATATTTTTACATTAATTTATTGTAGAGGAAACTTTTGTACGCCTAATATTTGTATTACAACAATTTACTGATCATTAGCAAACAAACATAATATAAGAAAAGAATCAACTTTATATACTATTTTTACACGTAAATTGAGATGTGTGTAAATAGTCAAAAGTAAAAAACTTATTTATATTTCATAACCCAAAGATAGTAATGTTTTTTTATTATTATTACTGGCTGGTAACATAACAGATTACTTTATGCTTTATATTAAAATACAATTCTTTAAAAAAAATTATAATAAATTTTATTTTAGTTGAATTGATATATTTTTAAAAAACTTATTTATATTTCATAACCCAAAGATAGTAATGTTTTTTTTATATTATTACTGGCCGGTAACATAACAGATTACTTTATGCTTTATATTAAAATACAATTCTTTAAAAAAAATTATAATAAATTTTATTTTAGTTGAATTGATATATTTTCATATATGCATAGAAATGCCAAAAGGAAATTTAAAGGTGGAGCTGAAAAATTAAGAAAAAAAATGCTGCTGGTCTCAAAGCAGCTGGTGCTGATCCAAAACAACTTAAATTATCTTTTTTTGATAAATCAATACCAAGTATTTCAAATACTATTACTTCATGTAAATAAACTATTTTTTTAGAGATACCAACAACTGCCTCCCATTCACCACTACCTGAAACAACTACCTTATCTGCAACATCTTCATGTATTATGGCATCAGTTCAATCATTGCCACTATCCTCACACTTGTCAGAAGCAACTACATCAATAATGCCTTCAGATATTTCTCAAAGTGGATTATCAGAATTGATATGCATACACATGAAAATTCTAAGTTGCAATTAACAGCCACTATACCTCAAAAACTTAGATTTTTAATGCAACATCCTATACAACCAATAAACATTAAATATGATAAATTATATTATCAAATGGTAATGAGTGAAAAAATACCTAGAAAATGGATTACCATAAAAATTATATGCAATAAAGCCCAAGCTGTGTACCTCAATCTGCCTGGCATTTGCAGTATATGAAAACACTTTCACAACAGGCTCTACAAATTTTCGTCACATGCACTCATGAAAATTCAAAAGTGCATATTAGTGCTGTCGAGGCCTACCTCAGAGCTTCAAAAAACTAGTCATTTAATAATTCAATTAGCGTTAAAATATTAAATGAAAAAAATCGACAAATTCATAACAATATCCACATATAAAACAAATATTTGAGATAATAAAGTTTTTAGGTAAACAAAACTTACCATACAGAGGATCAAATGCTACCGAAACACTTAGCCTCTTTGATAATGAAAATATAAATCATGGCAATTTCCTGGAAATGATCCGTATTATATCAAAGAATGATCAAATACTTAGAGATCATTTAGAGAAGGCTATTTTAAAAAGCAAACGTAGAAAAGATACGCTTAAACTGTCTAACAAATCAAAATCGAAGGAAAGAGGTTCTCTCATAACCTTGTTGTCAAAAACAACTGTCAACAAAGTTATTGATGCTGTTCTTGATCAAATCAGGAATTTAATAAAAAAGGAGATTGGTAACAAACGGTTTAGTTTGCAAATGGATAGTACTCAAGACATTTGCGTTTATGATCAAGCAACCATTTGCCTACGATGCATATATAATGGTAAAATAACAGAAAGGCTTTTTGCTCTTACAAAAGTTACGAACTCTTCTGGAAAAGGATTTTTTGATATCTTGAGTGAATGCTTTTTAAAACATGGAATTCAAATGAGAAATATAATTGGAGAATCATTTGATGGTGCTGCAAATATGCGGGGGGAATTTGTTGGGTTGCAAGCTCTTATTAGACAAGAGGCTCCAGGTAGCTTGTATATTTGGTGTTATAGTCACATATTAAATCTCTGTATATGTGATTCATGCGATAATATTGAAGGCAAAATTTTATTTGGATTATTGAACAGACTAGCAACTTTCTTTGGTGAATCATATAAAAGGATGGACGCTTGGGTAAAACAGAATAACTCAACTGGCCAAAATAAACTGAGAAGGCTGCAAAAAATAGGTGAGACAAGGTGGTGGGCACGTGAAAAAGCCCTTAAATGGATATATGGCAAAGAGAACTTACTTCCAATAACGATAAGTGCACTTCGATTTATAATAGATAATAAATCATTTGAGGCAAAAACCTCATCAGAAGCGCAGTCGTTGATAGATAATTTATGTAAATTTAAGACTCTTAGTACAGCTGTAATATATTTGGAAATTTTTGAAATAATGGGGCCATTGTCATTGTATCTTCAAACCAAAAATTTAAATATTTTGTCGGCATGGAAGATGATAGAAGATGCTAAGTCTTCTGTGTCATCGATAACTATTACATCAATTCAAAATAAAGCAATAAAAATGGCTTCTGATTTAAATGAAACACTTTCATATTTAAAGCTTACGGAGAGTATCTGTGTACAGACTGCTCTACCAAAAATTCGAATAGGACGAGCAAAGAGAATATATAGTGATGAAGGCCAGAATAAACGTCCTCAAGAATCGATTGACCTTTATAGGGTTGAAGTATTTCGTCCTATAATTGATCAAATTATAAACAGTTTGTCGGAACGCTTTTCTGCGAATAGAGAGCTTATTTTGAATGTGCGATATTTGCATCCAAGGCATTTTGATGACATAAATAGCAAAGGTATTTCTGAAATGGCCTTGGAAAAACTGGCGCAATTGGCAAATATATCGAGTGATAAATTACATAACGAATTGTGTCATTTTCTAGTGTATTCAAAGATTTAATAGCAGAATTAAATGAAACGGACGATGATATCTTATGTACAAGTGAGGAGTCGAATGAAGAAGATGGAATACTACAATATGATAATAACTCGAAGTGTGATAAATGTAACAATTGTTTAATATGCGTGTATGAAATTCTTAAGAGGTACAATATGCATACAAGTGCATACACTAATTTATTTTTGGCGTATGAATACATTTTAACTTTATCATTTACGCAGGTTAATTGCGAGAGAATATTTAGCAAATTGAAAATTATAGAAAAAAGACTGGGAGCTAATATAGGCCAAAAAAAATTAGAAGCGTTTTTAATGAAGTCAGTTGAACGAGAACTATTATCGCAGATTGAAATAGAAGATATTCTTGTTTATTTACGCAAAGGTTCAAAGTTAATGAGAGATTTATTAACATAAAAATTATATATTATTAATTCATTTATTTAAATCTTATTTATATCTATTACAATATGATCTCTAATTTTATAAGTGCAACAATTTTATTCTCTGTGCAATATTGTATAATTGTTATAATTTTATATGTGTAATTAATTGATTTTATATATTGAGTATGTATTATATTATATTTAACATGTGATGTATGATTTGATTTTATAGTGCAATATCATTGTAAATCTAATATAAAATATATATGTGCAATGAATATTTTTTTATAAGTGCAATGAATATTTTTTAATATGTGCAATGAATATTTTTTTATATGTGCAATGAATATTTTTTTATATGTGCAATGAATATTTTTTTATGTGTTCAATGAATATGATTTTGGATGTGCAATTTTTTAAAATAAAATATATGATTATCGTGTCATTATTCTTTTCTTTTTTTTAAATGTAAATTGTTTGAACCTATAAAAAATAACAAGTAATAAAAATATATAATTTAAAGAAGCCATTTAAGGGAACCCGGCCGAAGGCCGGGCAAAAGCGGGCCGAAGGCCTGAAAAATAGGGGGTATGGGGGCGAAGCTCCCATAAAAATGAGGCCGCTATAAAAAAATGCCCACGAGGCCGTATCGTCGCCAGTCCGCCCCTGAAAGATAGGAGTCAATGTTTATGTCAGATGAGTGGATATATTATTTTATTAAAGACCAAACCTACCATATTCGATAAAATCTAACAAAAACTAAAAAATAATTTTATTTGAAACTGTGAAAACATAAATTAAAACTGAGACTAATTATTTAAAACTGTATATTTCGATTATCTACAGTCCAATTAAATGATATATCCTTTATTTTCTAGTAAAAAGAGATGTTATTATAAATAATTAAAGCAGAGGTTGGAATCTAGATTAAATAGGAATTCGGCTCTTGTTAAAAATAATTTTTAAACGGCTCTTGTTCCGGTTTAAAATTTTTAAAGTGGTTTCGGTTATTAAATTTAGCAATCCGTTTCAAACCCAAAAATTAAAGTTACTTAAGGGCCTTTATATTTTGGCTGCATTAAGGTTGTGGGGGCACTATAGGAAATATTGATTCAAATCATTATACATAGTTACGGGTATAAGAGTAATGCTCCATAGGTGTAGCCAGGGATGCGAACCCATAAAAATTTTTGGCCGGGTTCGGTTCGGTTTAAGGATAAAAAATATTAGTGGGTTCGGTTCAGGGAAATATTTATGAACCCGGGTTTGATTCTGGGTTCAGCTTGGGTTTAAGAATTTTTGAATTGATAAAAAATATTCTATATTTAAATCATAATTAAAAAACTAGACATAGATTTGGTATAAGTCATGTATCAATTTTAAAATTTTTATTTAGATGTATTTCTTTAAATTAACAATACCCAATATAATAATTTTTACTTTGACTTGTTCACTTTCATTTTCCTCTAATTAATAGTCTTTGAGAATAAGTTAAAAATTAAAACTAAATGAATTTAATTCTTTAAAATATATTAGCATTCCAATAGGAATCTTCGGGAATAAATTAAAAAAAATTTAAAAATGGCGTAAATGAATTAAGTTGTTTAAAATTTATAAGCACTTCACTTAATTGGAAATTTGAAAATATTATAAAATCTTAATTAAATTATTAATATTTGTATTTACAATTATACAAATATCATATATGATTTTAACAATACACTGAACAATTTTTTCAAATAATTTTGAATAATAGCCGCTATTTTAAAAAATTAATTACTTTTACGAATTTTTCTTTCAAATTCTTGTTTATAGTGATATATTATATATGTTTTTGGGGAAGAAATGGGTGGGAGGAGGACATTTTAATTAGCTTATATGAAAACAAGCAAATTTATGAAGGGGGTATCTCACCTTGTCCATCCCGGCTACGCCTATGATTAGTCTTTTTATAGAGTTTTTTCATAAATGTTTAAAAAAATAAATATAAAATATTAAACCTTGTGTTATGAAAAATGAATAGTATATCCTCAAGCAATTAATTTTTATATATAAATTTAATTAGAAAAAAAAATATATAAATTAATTTAATTTTTCGTTTTGACTAAAATGGACTCATATACTATGTATTTGTTAATTTAACCTTATGCAATCTATTAATATATTCTTGTGTTGACCCTAATTCGATTTCTAAAAGTAATAATCTATTCATATAAAATAACATTAACTCTAGTAAATTATGCATATTTTAATTCTTCAACGTTGAAATAATGTTTTTAATATAGACGAGTGTCAAAGGGAGCATAAATTTAAATAAGCAGGTTATATTATAGTATGTGATAATGCATTTTCAAATACGATTTCTCTAAAAGTGTAAATATTCCACTGCTATTATAACGGCTTTTCAGAATGTTTAAAACTATTCCAGAACAGAACGCGTTTAAAAAATTAAAATAATTTGATTGAACAAAATATAATATTCCTTGTGCCAGTCTTATCAGAGACAAGCTCTTTAAAATGTTTTAAAAAAAGAAATAAAACAGGCAGTTCTTTCATTATAGCGGAAGCTCCTATAATCAGAATGCTTTATTTTGAAGTTGTCCCATTGTTAAAACTCGCCATTTTGCAAGAAAGTCCGCTAGCGTTTGGAAAAAAGTAGCGCGCTATCGTTACCGCTAACTTTTCAAAAATGTAGTATCGTTACCTCTAGCGTTTTTAAAAAAGTAGTGTATCAATACCGCTACGTTTTTTTTAAAAAGTAGCGTGCTATCACTATCGCGACCGCTAGCTTTTTTTAAAAAAGTATTTTAAAAATATTTTTTACATTTTACAAATAAAAAATATGACTAAAATTTCAAATATATATTTTTTTTACTAAATCCCAATAATAATAACATTTCCATATTGTTATCCCCAAGTCTAGAGCGACGACCAGAAAGTAAGCTATTACTAAATAATCGTTCATTAGAACGCAATGCAGTATTAAATCTAATACACATATTTTTTATATAAGAAAAATCAAAAATATTTTTAGATTTAAAAAATCCGTTTAAAGGATTGTAATAATATTATTATTTATTTTAAAAAAGTCAATCATCCATAGTAGGTGGCGTTTTTGATCTGGATAGGGTCAGTCTAAATTATAATAGTAATAGTTATAATAAAAATTATGTAGGGGATAAGTGGGTGGCCATGTTTGCTTATCTATTGAACCAATTTCTTTCGGAATTGGTTAAAATGTGAAAGAATTGAAATAAGTATTTTTTAGCAGGCTTTGATAAAATTTATAGAATAAATAGATGAATGATTAATTTTAAGCATGTTTAACACCTAGATAATAATTTACAAAATATTATCAATAAATAGATGAGTCTGATGATAAAATGGATGTTAATTATTTATTGTAATTTTTAATTTATATAATTTTTGAATAATATCTTATGGCCAGTTGAAACATGCCTTGTTTGGACTGGGACAAAAAATCAATTTTCATATATTCATCTAGCTCAAAAACTATTGTAAATATAGCCATGATTCAAAATATATTTTAAAGATTAAGAATTGGGCTACACATTAATAATAAATTTGTTGAAGTTTTGTTTGATGATAAAACCTTCCGGCGCATCTTACCATATTTATACCGTGTTAATTTTTTTTTATCAAGATTAAAATATTTTGCGAATTCAGTAAAAGGAATTCGATATTATCATCCAGGGAAATTACTTTGTCAATATGTTCTAGACCAATATTTTCTGCAATACCCGACAATTTAAATTATTTTGAAAATTTATAATGCAGATTTTAAAATATAAATTTCAATATTAAATATAGAAATAATATAAATATATCTTAACAACTTTTATGTGTATTTATAATTTCTAAATTAGTAGCGAACTACCACTATTGCTATTTTTTTAAAAGTAGCGAGCTAATTTAACAACAATGTTATCTACCCTATATTATAAATATATGCCAATCAAACTAGTTTTTGAAATGAGACATTTTATGAAGTATAATTAATGATACTTAAAATATTTTTTCTTTAATTCATCTTTATTAGTGAAGGTCAAAGGTTCAATTCTATCGATCTTAGATCGGACTGGACCGATTTTTTCTTGAAGACCACAGTCCGGATTGGTCTTTTATTAATATTTAAATTCGCCCTATTATTCAATTAATCTTATTTTTTTACCTAATTTTTTTGTATTTTATTTCATGTTATTTTTCTAGAGTAGTTATTTTAGTTTTATGAATTTTTATTTTGCAATATGAATTTTAATGAGTCCCAATAAACAAGAAATAAATTAGGTAAAAAGAAAAATATTTTTAAATACCAAAAAAAATAGAAATTTCGATCCAAGACCGGTTTTTTTTATTTAGGACCACGATCTGGATCGATCTTTCTAAAAGACCATGGTTCGGTCTGGATGAAAGATCGGTCAGTGATCTTCACTAATAATTATACCATATATAGCTCTTTTAATCACGTAATATCTTTTTTTCAAACAGACAGTGTCCTCTTTTAATGCCAATTAAAAGATAGGAGGACCTTATCTTTGAAAATAACACCTTGTCTTTGAAAAAGGACTTACTATATATTTACCCATTTTTCTCCCATAAGTAGAACTGAAATTATCAATATTTCTTAATTTATACTTATTATTTTATTGAAAAATCCAAAATATTATTTTAAAAAAATATCGCCAGCTGAATATTATGGTGTTCCGTATCCACTCTTTTACAAAATACATTCTTCGATAAATCAATCCTTCTGTACTGTATTCTTCCATACACCAATAAAAATGCTAAAATATAATTTCGAATAATCCATTATTGACATTATTAAGGTGTGATCTTAATTAGTTATATAGCGATCAACTCTAAAAGGGAAACCCCAGTATTATACCTCATCTGGCATTAAAGATTATTAATCAATGTTTTAAATAATTGGTTGATATTATAAAAAAAATATATTAATTTCCTAGGCGCGATTTGTAATTTAATTGATATTTTTCTAAAAGAAATTTCCTAATAAAATTTTGGATTTTTAAATTGATAGACCAGTAACTTTCATACTTACTATATAATCATAAATGTTGTGCAGTCACATGGAATCAAGGGGAAAAGATATACCGCGTAAAATATCTATCGTAGCTATGGGGAAAAAAAAATTAAGTAAATAATATAAAGCGCAATCAGAATTCAAATGATTATATTATTTAAACAAAACTAAGGTTTAGCCTTCCTACCACTCCCATCAAAGATATATAGATTAAATAAAATAATTTAAAAAGGATTACAAGTAGATTGTGGATTGAAATACATAACGGGACTATTCAAAAAAAGGATGCCTACTGAACGTCAGACAATTGTAGGAGGGGAAGAAAGTGTCCCTAATGCTTGGCAAATTGATATAAGGATTCGAAACAACAGGCATATTTGCGGAGGTTCACTCATAACTGACTCTCATGTAATCACGTCAGCCCATTGCATTATTCCGTAAAAACGCATTTTTATATTTTTCTTTTTAACGTGTCATATTTTTCATCAAAATTTGTAATGGCCCTTATTTTTTAAAAAATAGGGAATATTAGTAATTAAGCACTTTTTAGTAAGGGTAGAGAAGCATGATTAGTTAAATTTTAAGTAATCTATATATCTATACATGTTGATTTTCATTAAAAGCTATGTTACATCCCTAAGGGACAAAATTTATACAAATATTTTTTTTAAAAATAATTATTTTATTCATCGATACTTTCGTTGGTTCAAAAAAACGATTAAATTTACATTTAGATCCATCACTAGTCACTTTAGAATTTTTTTACTGTTATTTTTATGAAATAGAGATCAGGGCACGTCAGGACATTTTATTTTTTTTATGAAATGTGAAAGTTTTAAGAGTGAAATTCAATTACAATATAGATGATTACTAAATGAATATGGGGAAAAGATTATATCTCTGTATAATAATCATTTGATACTATAACGTGAGTTTTACCTTATATTTGGATAAAAAAATTTAGTATATTTCCGTTTTGATTTTTCAAGACAAATTCGAACATAATTTTTACAAATGAAGAATTAACCCTCCTCTATCATATTTTTATTTATCAAAATTGGGCATATTAGTATTCAATTTTATTAAAAGAGTAAGAGTATATTAAAACAGTGCATATTGTATGTCAACCATCGATATTTTCCCGATATCTATTTTTTGCAATATTATGTTCAAATACTCACATGGTGTGTGATATTGTATTAGAAAAAAAGATTGAATCTCGTGGAAATTTTGTGTTTTTTATCATTATTTTTTATATGAAACACGTGATTTTTATTTATTACTTTTCTTATTAAAAAAATTTGTGGTTTCGAATAAAAAAATATGGAAACCTGCGCGATTCAAATTTTTAACCCAAACTGATTACAAATGATCGGTCTGACCTTATATAATCGTTGAAATAGGGTTACGGGTTATAACCAGCTCCTGGATAAATTTCCCTTATGATTGTACTATGTATTATATAATTATAAAATATTATATCTAAGGGGTCAAAGATACCGTCTACACGCTGGAGTTCATAATAGATCGATTCTTGGTGAGTATGAACAAATTCGAAACATATCATATGTAATTATTCACCCTAACTTTGATGAAGGTTGATTATATGTTTTATTAGACTCCTAAAATAGTTTATTTCTAACTGGAAATAATATCAGAGAAAGCAAATTCATAGGTTGGCTAAAATTATATAAATTTGGCTAAAATTATATAAATTATAGCATTTAGCATATCAACCAGACATATGTGGATAACAAAAAAAAATGTAAATTAAAAATATTAGTCAACGGTAGATAGTAAATTAATTATTCATAGCAATATTTAAAATTATCCTACAATAAATTTTATAAATAATAATATTGGCAAACCAAGAATTTATAATTTTGTTGAAACTGGTTAAAAATAATTTTTATTTTCTAATATATCCGTAAAACCGATAAAAACAGGTGTGCGCCAATAGGAAACCATGTAATTTTTTAACAAGGATTTATAAGAAATAGTAAACTTTTAAAAATGACTAATATTACATATATTGCATACACTCCTTTAATAAAATCATAGGCAATATTCATTATATGTCAATCTCTCATACGTAGCTTATATTTTTGTACCTATTATTAGAATTGCAATTCGATTCTGATATTGCCATCTTAAAAACTAAGGAACCCTTCTTGTTGAATCAGTATGTCAATTTGGTGTGTTTACCTTTACTACCGCGATCAACGGTTTTATGGAATAATGATAGCAAAGAATGTTTCGTCACTGGTTGGGGAGAAACTCGAGGTAATGAATGACAAATATTATTAAAAATTATTCGATTCAAAATATGATTAACAAAATTACAAATTGAATAAAATCTTTTATTTGACTAACTATTGATAATAACATCATAAATAAAATACTAAATTATTCAATTCACATAAACAGCAATCGTTTCAGATATATACTATCAATTTCTGATCCTGTTCAATTAATAGCTAAATAAATAAACATTTTTCTAGGAACTGGGAATGATATAGTACTAAATCAAGTTAGAGTGCCCATTTTAAAAACGGATATTTGTAACTCTTCGGATTATCTGTCGGGATTAATCACAACAAACATGATTTGTGCAGGGTACGATGAAGGAACAAAGGACGCATGCGGAGTAATTATAGTACCGTTTAGTCATACAATTAAGAAACCTTAGAAGGAATTATATAAATATAATAAATTTTAAAATAAATTACATTTTAAAACTTTAACCTTCAAAAATAAATGTAAGAAATTTTCATATAATTTTATATGTTATTAAAACTCTTCATATCTCTACCTACATTGTCAAATAAAATAAATTATATTTTTACAGGGCGATAGTGGTAGTCCTTTAGTATGTTCCTTTGACAAAAAAAATGGTTTTTAGAAGGAATTTCAGTTGTGCTCTGCCAAAAAGACCCGGAGTATATACGAAGGTTGAGAATTTTGTGTCATTTATAACAAGCAATATTATTTGATAAGAAAATTAAATAATCATATTATTATATCGCTATTTTGTAATTTACACTATTTTTTATTTATCGAAAATATAAAATTTATTGACAATGATATCAATCATGTTATATAATTTTTCATTTATAATTTTCTGCGAAAAATGTTTATATATAATGCGTATAGAATATTTCGATTAGATTGTAAAAAAATTTACCACATAAGAAGTATCAACTATTTAATTGTAATTATTTTTATTTACAAACTCATTTTACGTGATTTAAAAAAAAAATTAAATCCTTTATATTTTTCGCGCTTATTGCTATTAATCCATGTTTTAAAAATCTTCATTTTATTTTCATTTAAACAATGAGGCATACAAATCTGTGCTATATTTTTACTTTTAAAGAAAAAACTATGAAATAAATTACTAAATATTATCATCGAAATTGATATCTTCTTGAGGACACATATAATTAATTAGTTTGGGTATAGGATCGTATCTGTAATAAACAAAAAAAATTACAAATATATAAAATAATAATTCATATCCTTTTTTAAGATTAAAAGAACGTGTATAACAAACACCATTAGAGAAGGTCATGGTTCGGCAGCTGGACGCCATTTTAATTCTCTATGTAAATAATTTACATTAAAATTTTATCAAAACTTTAAAAAAAAATCAGTTTCATTTATTTATAGAATTTGTTATAAGGGAAACAAAAGTGTTGTGTAACCAGATGATTTGTATTCCGCGCTTCAAAATAATTATTAATGAATGAATCTTCAATCTAGATAACAAATATAAATATTGATTCGTTCTAAGGGGATCGAATTTATAACAAAAACAATGGTTAACGGTAGATAGAACCACTCTTGAAGCAATCACCAAGCCAGAAGATGAATTTATCAGTGCCTTTTTGGAAAAAATGGAATCTTTATTATCCCATTCTTAAACACAACAATCGTTGTTTATAAATAATCAAAAATTCAACTTAGACGAAGGCCAATATTTAATTTTATGTGGTTTTTCAGAAAATTATAGCTCTATACTTCAGGATAAAATTATCATTGGAAAGGGCTCAATCCACTATTTAAAAGAAAATTTTGCCAATATTTGTTGCTTATATTATATATCGATATCCGAATCTTTGCAACATATCACACCGTAGCAGTATAAAACATTGGCAAATTTTTTAATTAATAAATTATGCATGCCATCTTTAAAAAATTTTGAGCAGCTATCTTTAAAGATCTCATCATAAAATTTGAAGATTTTTTATTTAAAAAATTTTGCACAACGATCTTTAAAGATCTAGACCTTTAAAGATTTATTTTAAAATGTTTTGATCAACGATCTTCAAATATCTTCATTAATATGTTATAATAAATTATTATTTTTATAATTTTTTGAAATAATCAATGAAGATGTACCAGAAAAGTGACAAATGTCATAATCGTTATTTTTTTAAACTTTTTTCAATTTTTGACGCAAATGGGTAAAAATATATGTTGTTAACATGTTAAATTAAAATTTCAATGAAGATGTAACAGAAAAGTGACAAATGTCACAATCGTTATTTTTTAACTTTTTTGAATTTTTGAAAATAATGGGTAAAAATATATATTGTTAACATGTAAATTACAATTTCAATGAAGATGTACCATAGAAAAGTGACAATTGTCATAATCGTTATTTTTTTAACTTTTTAAAATTTTTTTGACAAATGGGTAAAAATATATATCGTTAACGTGTTAAATTAAAATTTCAACCATAGAAAAGTGACAATTGTCATAATCGTTATTTTTTTAACTTATAAAATTTTTTTTGACTCAAATGGGTAAAAATATATATTGTTAACATGTTAAATTAAAATTTCAACGAAGATGTACCATAGAAAAGAGACAATTGTCATATTCGTTATTTTTTTACATTTTTGGACGCAAACGGTTAAAAATATATGTTGAAAAGATGTTAAATTATAAATTCAATAAAGATGTTCTTTGGAAAAATGACAATTGTCATAATCAGTATTTCTGCCGTGGTATATATATATAAGATATCTCTGACAACTCTGCTATTAGAGCATCTTTCATCACTTTAAAGTTCTGCTATCTTAATCATTAGTGTCTGGTGACATAAAATTGTTGTACCAAGAGAGCTTAAATCATCATGATAAATTATCAACCAAGGACAGTGGCTGAGCTGCCAATTATAAAATCAACAATGACTTTATCAGCCAGTATCTGAAATATTGGAATGTGCAACATTATTAATCAATTTATGAATTGAATTGAATTGGTCTTTTTGGACGCAGTCTCCCCTATACTAAAATTATTACGATGTTTTTCTATCTCTTTAAAACTGTTGGCATGAACATTCTTATAAAATAAATACTATTAGAATTTAAAAATGACAATTACCTCTAGATGTTTTCTGAGGTTAAAGCTACTAAATTTATTTGAGGTTATATTTTTTTTTACATTTTGAACAAATAAATTTGTAGCCACCTTTTGTTTTTACATTAATTTGGAAATATTTTTCAAATTTTGGAAATGGAAAATGTGTAATATTGTTATCAAGAACATTTTCTACGAGGGTACCTTCCATTTCAATAATATCATCATTTTCTAACTCACTTACATCGATTTGGATCCCATTTGCGATGACATTTTAAATAATTTACACCAGATGATTTAGGTTTATAATACAAATTGAAAATATAAATTTCAATATTAAATAATCATAAAAATTATAATTAATTATGATATTATATTAAATATCTTTATAGTTAATTATATTTTTAAAAAGTAGCTAAGTGGCCAAAAAAAGGAGCGTGCTAAAAAAATTATTAATTAGATAAAAAGTAGCGCGCTATTAGCTATAGATACCAAAAAAGATAGTGTTCTATATAGTAGTGCGCTACTTTCATACTGGATAATTTATTAAAAAGAACGATAAAAATAGTGGTATTGACATTTTTTAATATTATTGTGCTCTCATAATATGTGTTTTTGTTCGAGAACAACGGTTAACCCTGTATATAAGCATAATAAAAATTGTATCTGTAATTAGACACGTTTTTGAATGATATATCTGAATATAAATCCATTTAAAAAGCATCTTTTAACAACTTTGGAAAAATATTTTTACCACTTTGAACCGTAATATCTCCAAAAATATAAATGTTAGAAGGCTAAAATTTTGATTAATTCTTAGTTACATTAATCCTGTTATCACAAAAGGTAAAGGCCTGAGATAGGTCAGTGTTATATTTTATATATTTATAATAATCAACTATATTTGAATAATATATTTGTCATACAATAATATAGCTTATTTATATTTAATATTATATAAAAGGTCAAATAGAATAATTATAAAATAGTATTAGAAGAATTGAAAATAAAAAGTTACCATTAACCATATATTCTGAGTTTACTTCAAGATATAAAATTGGTGACGAAAAAAAAAGACGTGGTCTTCGGTCAAGTTAAATATTAAATAGAATTGTATAGAAATTTTTTTTTTTAAATTATGGGTGATATTTCAAAAATTCATTAAACGATTTTCGTATATAGGAAACTTCTTTAGATGATTATTTGGATTATATTAAATATATTTTGAATATAAAGTTCCTCAAACAGATGCAACTTTGAAAAAATTATTCATAGCATCTAGACGAATAAATATAATAACAGATATAAAAACTATTTCCAAGAAAAATTGATGATGTGGTATGGGTAGATTTATATAAAATTGCAAAACAAATTTTTAAAGACAAAAGAACTGTCTTAGCATCAAGAATTGATTTTATTAGATTAAGTCGCGAACCAACAGAATCAGTAATGAGTTATTTAAAAAATATATAGGAACTAGCCTGTAGATGTGAATTTAAAAATAATAGAATTTATCAATATAATCGATGGATTAAAGATGTCGCAACTAGATAAAGAAATACGATTAAGATACCTAGAAACTAGAGACGGAGCAACCGTTAAGCTTAACAAGGTTATAGAAATGGCTTTATAGATGGAATATGGTATTAATAAACAACCACGAAATTAAAATGGAATATAATAAAGGTTCAGTAGTAACCATCATTAATGCAACAATATGGAATAAAATTGGAGGCCAAAATTTAGAATGGTTATAGCTCCAACTATATATGGAAGCAATACAATAAAAATTATGGGAGAAGCTTATGTAAAAATCTAATTAGATGACAAAATAAAATGGCTTACGTTATTAGTTACAAAAACAAATGATGAGCGCTATTTGGATTTTCATGGACAATAGAATCTGATCTATCATTACAAGCAAAGGTAAAAGCAATATGATCAGCAATAAATATAATAATATTGATAATGGCAACGTGAATATTGAAAACCTATATAAAGAATTTGCTATGGTGTTTGATAATAATTAGGATTAATAAATAATGTCGAACCATAAAACTATAATTGGAAGCAGAGACCTGCAGAGGCACCATTTGCACGGCCCGATCCGGTTTTAAATTTTTTAGGCCCGGCCCGGATATTTTTTAAAAAAAAATTTTAGGCCCGGCTCGGAATTTTTTAAAATTATATTCGACCTGGTATATACAAAAATTCACCTATGAGGTGTTTTACCATATTTTTCAGCGAGTATTATCGCTTATTATTTAAAAAATACATGAAAAAGCTAATATTTTGAGAATATTATATTGAATTTATAAAAATTATAAAACTGTTATTTATAAAAATGGATATTTTGAGCATATACTATATTTTATATTGCATTTATAAAAATAAAACTAATATTCATAAAAATGGTAATAATATTTTGAGCATATACTATATTTTATATTGCATTTAAAAAAAAATAAAACTAATATTTAATTTATAAAATAAAAATAAATCGCTATTTAAAAAAATGCATGTATAATAAATAGTATTTTGAAAATATAATTTAATTGCACAATATTAATATAATTTATTTTATAATATAAATTTTTAACAAAAGAAGATAATTGTATTATATAATATTGTAAAAAAAAATAATGAAAAATGTTGGATTAAAAACTTTCATGACTCAAGGTAAATATAATAAATGCAATAAATATTTGACAGTTTGCAAAGTAAAAAACCAGCATGATTGACGAAACCCCATACTCAAGAAAGATATTAAAAATTCACAAATTATCATGAAGAAAGAGAAGCATATCTACCTTTTCAGGTTGAAGATTACTTCTTCTTTCTTCAAGAATTCTCGTAGTAAGTAAAAAACCAGCATGATTGACGAAACCCTATACTCAAGAAAGATATTGAAAATTCACAAATTATCATGAAGATAGAGAAGCATATCTACCTTTTCAGGTTGAATACTTCTTCTTTCTTCAAGAATTCCCCCAATAGTGGAAAAATTCCGCTCACAACTTGCACTTGAAGCAAGAATTGCCAATACCCGTTTTGCCAATTTTGCTAAAATTGGGAATTCGCTTTGATGAGCCGCCCACCACTC